ATTTGCGCGTAAGATAAATGTACCAACATATAAAATATTTTACACAAATACGTACGTGAAATATGTTCTATGCAAAATACTTTACCTCCTAAATGGATTATTAAAACTCATTGTGTGTGTATATATATATATATATGATCATGAAGTTATTATTAAACGGAAATAAATATATACATATCCGTATTTTAGACACAATTTTGACTTGATATATTTTACATATCAATTTTACTATAGTGATAACATTTTTCGTGCATTTGTTGCTGTAATAGAATAAGCAATCATGAAGTAAAAATTTAGTACATGTTTTCACACAATCAAGTTAATTGCTGAAATCGAAAATTGGTTTTATAGCTTTAACAGAGAAGTACATAGAATAAAGACCTTTTTTTGATATATTTTATAAATCTATTTTATTAATTGTAAATGTTGTTTTATTAAAAAATATTTCTATTTAAATATATTTTCCCAAAATTTTTATATATTTTCTCGCTTCTAATATTATAATCTGAGATAGTAATGGTGAATGAACGAGAGCTTTAATCTGTAAACATAGCAATGTCAATACTATTTGTATTATTTTAAAATAAATGTTATTGTCTTTTTTTTTTACTGTAAGTTCATTATGAATGCTATTATGAATGAAACGTATATATTGTCACGATACATAGCTATGTTTACTTTATTTGCTACGTATTTTATCCTTTTAGTTGGTTATTACGATTATGTGATCTGATAATTTTAATTTCGTAAATTGAGTTTAAATTTACTTGCGTTTGAATACAAAGCGCGTGTGGTGACAGTTAAGTCGGTAGTAGATAGTAAACATACTACACACACGTCGTTCGTTATATATATTCTACAGGATGCATCTAAAGCCTTCCTGATTACACTAGTGCGGTTTACGCACGTTAAATTATCTATTCAGGTGTTAGCTCTTAAATTAATCATCTACCCGGTATACATTATACACATACGAGAAATGTTCGTTAATATCAGTTGCGGCAAAGCTAAAACTTTTTTTTTACCGTCTCGAAAGTTTAATATATAATAGTATACAAATTGTGAAAATATTTTCAACAATAAAAATGTTTATTTAAAAATTCTTCCGATGAAACATCTGGAATCACAATTAGAAATATGATATTCGAAAGTTAGAGTAAACATACAATGACCATTTTGATTTTAAACAGGATTGAATGTATTAAATTCGTTATTAATTTTTATATTAATATGATACGATATTTGATATTTATGATGTGAAAAAAATTGGAAATTCCTTTATAATTTTATGAAAGTAAATATTTACAGAGAAAAAACGATAATTATTTCCTTGAAAAATTGAAATATGCTCTCTGCTTTATCCCGTCATTTTTCTGACGATTCGGATAATGATATCTTTGTATAATGTGAAATATATTACTTTTTCTGGAAAAGCTCGGAGTCAATAAAACTTGCTCGGTAAGACTTCCCTTATCAAGCTCTTTTTCAGGAAAAGGCAAAAATTAATTTTTATGAATACGCGCAACTTCCGCCACAGAGTTTTTTTCCCTTTCGATTCATTTAGGCTAATTATATTTTGTTCCATAATTACTATGATCTAATTACTTTTTTTTTGCTTTTTTTCTACCTTTTTCCCTCCGTATTGCGTAAGATTTATTGCCTTTCACTCTATATTTTATTGAACTCTGTTGTTTGTTAACTCGAATGACGAGGAGACGACGATGACGACATTTCTATCGTCACTCGCTTATTTCGACGGGCGCCGATGAAAAGTCGATCGATCCATGCGGGGGTGGATCGACGGGAGCCTCTCTTTTTGAAACGTAGCCCATCCCTCTCAGGCAACCGGTAACCCCCACCGGTAGCGCTTGCGCCCTAACATTTCCTATAAAAGCCTGAGCACTACTCGCGCGGATTTCAGTCTGACCCGCGATACCGGCGTGACGGTCGTTGTACGTCATTACGAATCATCCCCTTTGAGACCGATACTCCCCCATCATGCTACTCCCCGGCCTCGACTAAGAGCGAGAGAGACAAAGAGAGGGCGAGCAAACGAGAAGAGCTCGTCTTTTTCGTTCTTTTTTCGCGATAAACCAAGCAACGACCATCGTCGTCATCATCATCGTCGTCGTCGTCGTCGTCGTCGTCGTCGTCGTCGTCGTCGTCGTCGTCGGCGTCGTCGTCGTTGTCGTCGTCGTCGTCGTCGTCGTCGTTGTTGTCATTGTCGACGTCAGCAACGACGTTGCTTCTTCTGAACGATCAGCGTACGTTGATATAAAAAACGACAGTATTGCGAACGGCAGTAGTTCTGCCTTGTCGCGTGAACGTGGTGGTGGCGGTCCCACGAGATTGCACCCCCGCTAAAAACCCTTCACTACGCGGCATTGTGTTCTATGTGTGTTATTTAACTGATAGTGAACGCGAACTCTTATGGTGATGTTGTCTTTTGCGTTGCTAAATAGTGGGATCGTCGACGGAGACGGAGCGCGATCGCTTTTCGGTGTTCGATAGCGGATATGCGACTACCCGATTGGTAAACTCTGGACGAAGCTATCTATGGCTGTTGTGTTTGGCGCGATAGATATTCCTTCTTTTGTTCTTTCTTGGTGGATAATGTCACTTTTTCTTTCACCTTATTGCTCGGTGGATGAATTTTCTTTTTACGTTGTAATTTGTTGTTGCTGTGGATGCCGATTTGTTGGAATTGCTGTTTGGAATGGTGGAATGAAGTGGAATTTTTCGTTGCTGTATTATGAATGAATTACTGCGTTATTAGATATTATATGTGTAATCTTGTTTGGTAGTTAATTAATAGAAGGTTCATTTAGTCGTCTAAATAAAAATATTTTACACCCTCAAAATATAGAATATAATATTTTAAACCTAAACGGAGTGTACTAATAGAAAAGTGCTGAATTTATGTGCAATAACCATACTTAAAAAATTATTTTAAAAAATCTAAAAAAAGATCTATAAAAGAAATGCGAAGGATTCGTCTTGATTTTTCTTTATTTCAAAACGTCAAACTTCTCATATCTGTTGCGCGCAAGAACGGCTTGTGGTATCTCTAACAAATTAATTCAGTTAAAATACAATTAAATTACTCTTCCCTAGACTACCCTTAAATTTAACATGACGTCATGTTACATAGTGAAAAAAAAAAAGAGAATAATCAACTATTCCATTTTCGCTGGTCGCAACGTTGAAGGATTCAAAGGGAAATAGGATGTTGGAACGGTTCCCTCTATTTCTAGTTGGGGAAACTGGACAGGGATGATGGTGCATTTGGCGCGGGCGTTTGTATCTCGTTCCCTGCCTATCCCGGCGAATACGAGGACGTATTTCTCGTTTTGTCGCGATACGTGCGATACCCAACGACGCTTCCGCGATGCTTAACGTATTAACCGCAACGTTGGTCATGTTGATATCGTTTGCGTCCGCTAACTTTTTCGAATAAATTCGTCGTGCGGGATGTCCGGCGGCGGGTGGTTATCATCTCGAAAAAGATTCGTTCGCAAAACTTTTCGTATACACTCTATATTTATGACTTAATATATAATAAATATCACCCGCTAGATTCATTTTTTGTAACCCTTTTAGCGGTCTTTGAAAAATTTTGATTTTATTTTATTTTTTTTTTTGAAATCTTACATCGACATTTAAATAGAAATTTTTATATTTTTATTAAATATTATAACAGCGTGATTTTTAAAATATAAGATATTGTATTTGATCTGATGAGGTTTCCTAAGAGAAGCACATCTTATTTTCGCGGTTCACTTCGACGCAAATGCGATACCATCTCGGCACACACAGACGTAATATTCCCGCTACCAAATAGATCCCAGCTAAAAAACAAAAGTGGATCAACCACAAATGAAGGAAAGGTTTGCTTATCGAGAAACCATCGATGGGCGGTAAGATATCGTTGCGGGATATCAATTGCGTGGAAAAGTATCGCGTTGCAAAGAACAGTGCTTTTAAGTGTTTTGTTTTCTTTCAAAATTTTATTGACTATGATGTTGAAATAAATCAGAATTTTATTTCAAACGACCTTATTTTTTATGTTATTTATTTTTTATGTTTATAGGATATATTCGAAATTCGAAGATAATAAGATTGCAGTATGAAAATTAAAAAAAAATTAAATAATGGAAGGAGATGCCATTTTTCTATAAAATAATTTTTAAATATGAAGATTAAAGATATAATTGAGCGTAAATGTTGATTAAAAAGTTATTTCCCGTGTTATTATCCGTGTATCATACACACAATGATATTAGTTGTCAGATAGTTTGCAACGAATTACACTCAACACACACACACACATACACACACACACACACACACACACATACATATGTATGTGTATTAAATTAAAAGTTACGAGATATTAAATTTGAAAGATATTAAAAAGGACAAAAATTAAAAATAAAAATTAATAGACGAAATTAACGGACCTAGAAATAACGAAATATTTAATGCAAATTAAATGTTACCGAGGCCATTCCTGTTCGTCACTTATAACGAATACTGACTGTGCTGTTCGTTAGTGCTGTTTGCTAATTTTAGTATCTTCGTCAGCATGCAATTCAGTTTGTCGCGAATCTCAGCTATTGCATGCGAAGCGCACGTATCCTTTCTTAATACACACGCCGACGCGTCGCGTCCAAATGTGCGGTGACAGGTGCCCATTTAATGTCTCCCGACATGATATTCAGCGAGAGAGAACATCTCAGGAAATTGATAATGGTCTGTCTTCACTTCACTCCTGTATTAATAGTTGTTTCATCTACAGGAAAATGTAATTGAAACAATCGCGGTTGAATCGATAATACGAAACTCCAAGCTTCTATCACGAAATGTCTATAATTCATAGAGGCATCGAGACATAATTCATCGAGGCGACGAAACTTGAGGGCCGATATCCCAAAGAAAATTTATTTTATGCGATACGTGTGTAGGCCACCTCAGAGATCGCATATTTTCTACAGATTGAGGAGATAGAATGGTTGATCTATATATTAATATTTAGCGAAGAGACTTGAACGTAATTCTTTTTAGAATATTAAAAAGAAATAATAATACAGTAATATATTCCGTTTTATAGTACATATATATACAATTGCAACAATTGCAAGTTATTAAAATAAACTCCGATTAAAATTATTATATTTATTATTGCGAATAAAAAAGTAATTTTACCTATTTTTATTTTTTAAATTTATATTAACAAGACATTTTTTTAATTTTAAATTACTCATATAATTTTTCTAAAACTGTATATGTTATTTTAAGAAAAATATATTTTTGACTTAGATATCAATATACGCGATTTTGAGAGAAAATATTCCATTTCCGAGGCAATATTTATAAAATAGTTATCTCGAATTATAACACTTCTAGATCTATTGATCTTTGTATGTTTTTGAAAATAAATAGCTTACATTATGTTCTTTCTGAAAAGTCTTAATTCCTTTTTAATTTATAATATATATTAATATATATTAATAGATAAATCAATGTTGAACAGTATGTTATTAAAAAAAATTAATTGTTCTTTCTATATGGAATGAGCAGAATGTTTTTCTGATGACTTTTTCTATATGTACATATATATGATGCGATTTAACTTTGAGAGATATTTATTGCATACGACAGATGCACATAACATCGCATATGCAACGGTAATGCCCGACAGGAAAAATATGCTTGAGTAAGTCATGGCGCCCATCCGTGCCGAAAATTATTTATTACGTTCTCAAATATATGTACGTTGCAATGGTTAGCGTGGCTTATAAAAATCTTATGATAAAATCTCATACGTAGAGAACATAACAGAAATGCAAATATGCTTACTGTCTAACTTTAATATCATTGAAATAAAATTACATCTATTTTGCGTATTCTTACTCCACACGCGTATTACAACAAATTTAATTAAAACATTCATTTCTTTTCCTTCTTTTTTTCTTATAATCTGCTTGTATTTTTTTTTTATTTTTCCTTAAAAATTTTATTTATAAAATACTTTGGATTGGAAAAATTATAATGTCGATATAAGTAAAGTAAAATTTAATTTAACTCTATTTAACGTTAGTTTGCATAGGAATATGAGATCTTAATTACCTTCATTAAAATCCTGGTTTCATATTTGATGATGAAATGGAAGTTCGGAAAGTAGAACAGTTTTTTTTTATAATTAACGGACTAGACGCGACCGTTACGTTACGCGAACGTTCCGCTGTGCAATAAGATAGAATAGTAAAGGTGACCTTTCGAGAGAGATGTATCGTTATCGAGGGGGCGCCTTGCGCTGTACGAATTCGATAGGGAGACTGTGGGGAGACATTTGTCGATTTTATGAAGATGCATTGGAAGTTGCCGATGCCACGTATCGGTCCAGTAAATTTTGATCAGACTAATGTTAATCTTTGAAATAGCTATCATTCGGGACGATCGTAGACCAAACGAGAGGCGAGGTCGAAGGCCAAGTTAAATCTCCGCTAAACCACTTAGCGATCATCATGAGAGAACTCGCTTTGCGAGTTCCATTCGCCTTTCCTTCGGAGCAGCGATCTCATACTGGAGCAGTGGAACTCCAGCAAGGAGAATGAGTTTACACCTAAATGGATTAAAACAAAATTGTATAAGATTATTTCAAATACGATCCAAAATCTATAAAATCCATTTCAAATAACAATTTTTTTCACATCTATAATAGTTCCGCATTAAATCCAAAATGTAAAATATTTAAAAGTATAACTTAGCACTGTATAAAGATCCAATACAATATCTCTTATTGCTAGTTTAATCAAATACGTGCATATTTTGTTTCGCAAATTTAACTGTCAGTAAAACTTTGGTATAAAGGATGTGAGATAAAATAAACGTATAATTTAAAGAAAATTTTTATATTTTTGATACTGATGATTATATGAAATAGATTTTATCCTAAAATTTTAAAATCTATTTGCTGTCCGGCGATTCGAGGCGATCCTTGACTTATTCAATCGCACGCGTGTCTTTTAAATGCCAAATCTATGAAGGTAACGATCAATTGCAATTTCTTCATTCTACAGGATAATAACGACGCGTTTGAATTGAAAAAACGTGTCTTTGTTTTTACATTGTTTTTACATTGTTTTCACGTCAGATTTGCTCGCGTTGAAACGAACAGATTTATCTTCAAGGTTGAATGGTGCACGAAGAAGCTGCAATTCGCATTTATAAATTTGCGGACTGCACTCCAGTACGTACGTCACGCGAGAGCGAAGCACGTACGCAAACCTATCTCCCGAAATAACTTACGGAAGAGATATAGAGGGGCGCGGAGTTTCTTTTGGTATCTGTTTGCCTCCAGCACTGTGCCATAATGTAACGCGACAGATAATAATGTAACGACATGTTGAGTTTCGTAGTGCGACATCTCCGCAAAATTCATACGGTCGTCACGCTCCACTCCGCGTCCACATTCCGCATCTCCAATTTTTGTTGCACATACGTCACATACGTCACATTTGTTTTTTTTTT